TTAACATCTCCCCACCTCTGTAGCAGAGGTGGGGAGATGGTAACTATTCGATCCCGATCCTGATGCCTGTATATTTGGAGTTTGTATGCTCTCCCTGTTGTCGCATGGATTTTTCTCACGGTTTTCCGTTTTTTTCCTTCCACTCATTTATTTAAAAAAACATGCGTTAAGCTTATTTGGCTGCTATAAATTTCCACATGGATAAGCGACTTCATTGGGCTATCATTTGTGGTCAGGTCGCTTCTAAAAAAGAGCTATATAGCTCAGTGGGCCTTACCTGGTAAAATATAATAGAATGTCACACTTGTTAAAGGAAGGGCTGGTTGTCCCAAACTTGGCATGTGCTGGGCACGTGGGGAATTCCATGCTTTCACAGGTAAAAGATGAATAATCTGTTCCCTTTAGAACACGCAAGGTCAAAGTGAAGCTTAACCTTTGAGTATGGGACAAGGGGCAATACAGAGGAGGATTACAGGTTTACACTTGACCCCAATGGAAAAGTAATCTGAAATGTAAACTAAGGATTGTAATCAGTTTACAGATCTTGCAGCAGCATATTAGATTGCATGATTGATTGCTTAATCTGCAGTATACATCGGAAGTGGATTATGATTTGAAATTTCACTTCCCAAAAGTGTCAATACAAGTGAAGAGTTAAGTGGTGTACAGTAAATTTCTGGGGAACCCACTATTACTCGCAACAATCGTTGCAGAGGTATACTTTACAATTCACATATGGAAAGTATTGAAAAATTTGTAACTTTAAGTAAATTCTGTAATGAAACAAGGAGACCGTACCACGAGCAGATGTGTAGCCTAAGAAGGATGATTTATAAAACAATTTCTGATTTCAGGCATTGCGTACGGCTCAGTGAACGCATATTATTTCATGGTTTTGTGGTTTTGGCTGTGTGTGTTCTGCAATGATATGGCCGATTGACAATAATTACACCAAAGGTTAATCTTTCTGCAGAGCAGCAGAAAATGATTCCAATTGGCCAATTGGGGATTAACAACCTAATTTTTATTATTATTAATTATAATTGTTGGGTTTGCCAAGCGGACGAATGCAGGGCGTGCTGCCACTTATACAAGAACGCTCACATTTGTATCGAGGCAGTGCACATAGGTGAATGTGGCAAACTGATTAACATTGCACACAGTAATAATAGTGGATCATTATTTATTGTAGTTTATACTCAACGTTGAGTTCCTGCAGACGGTAATGCACATCGTACTTTCATTACATTTTTAAGCAACAAAAACCACAACCGCATAAACAGCACACAAGGTAGATACGCTGAGTGTGCAGTGGGCAAGTAGCTGTGCAGAGATCAATCGGTTAAAACGTATTTAAATGCTCACGATGCATGCATCATATTATTCTTTCGAGAGTATTTTTTGTTTGTTATATATTTCTCTTGTATTAATTTATATTTGCCACTGCTGGTGGAACGGCCTACATTCCAGGGAGTTCTTCGAGATGACCTGACGTTTTGGAGGAGGTGGTAGTACCCACACTGCACCCCACCACAGGTGACCTCCTGCTCGACTGTGCGCACCCATTTATACCGCTGGGTGGACAGAGGCAGGGGGATTGAAGAAACGTGCGTCATTGTTTCATCTGCCGCGCCAGTGCGCTAACCATTACACCGTGGGAAATACGTGCCAAAATTGAATTTAGACACCTGGAAACACGGCTGCAAGAGATGAGTGTTTCGTAGCTACATGTTTCAATGTAGACACAAAAACATTCAACCCAGTAGCAGTTTTGTTCGTCGAGTTACTTTTGTTGCTGTTTGGACATTAGTGTTGAGCAATCGGTGGACATTAGGCCTGCGGACAAATCTCTCTTCGGGCAACATTGCCATGAAAATGCAAAGTCAATGGAAGCCCTTTTCAAACAAGCAAAAAGAATACCCAAATAAGGTGTGCGACTTGGAATGTAAATCTCAAGTTAAATAACACTGGAGAAATAAATCAAGAGCTTAAACGATTCCTAATGTCAACAGCATTTGAGGGAAGAAAATGATCAAATGCAAACTGACCCACGACCCCCATTTGACCTCACCATGGAGGGCACGTGACCTTATATGTCCCCGAGCCCCAGCATGATCGAGCGGCCCGTGTCAGCGAGTCACATCTGTTAGCACGTCGACAACAGACAAGACGAGTGGTAGGGACTCCTCTTTCAAAAGCCGCCCTTCCACCGGACTCTCAGTTTTTTTTCTTCCCTCAAAGAGCCTCGTGTCATGTCTACGAATCTCACGTAAATCTTCTGGTGGGAAAAATAAACGGCATGCCATGTCACGAATGGTGGTTAATCGTTCGGGCAACAGACAGGCTCAGTCGCTCTTAGCTTCTGAGATCTCAGGAGGTCAGGCGCATTCCGGGTGATTTGGTCATAGGCTCAACAGAATACAATGAGGAACCTTAAATGTATATTTCAGTTTCTAAATAAAAAATCACTGTAAAAGGTTGGTGGATTATTGATATAGTTTTCTTTATTTTATCCACTGCTGAGTGAGTGCTGCCTCACACCATGTTAGTCACGTTTTTTGACCATACTTCACCACACTGGTCAGTGCGGGTTTGGTGAGGAGAGTAGGTGCCCAGGACTGGTTCAAAGATCCCTCGCCATTACATGTTAGCCATGGCTGGGGATTAAACTCAGTTCACAAGGTTTAGAGTGAAGTGCACTATCCACTGTGCCATCCCTCCCCCGTAATTTAACGATGTTGAAATGTTCATTGGCTGCCTTGCCGAGACATTTTAATAAGAGGTCGAAATATGGAAGCTGCGAAAGTCTGACTTTTATTTGTTAAGGCCTTTCATTCAATAAACACATCGCTGTGAAATTTTTAAAATTATTATCACATTAATTTCCTGAAACGGCAAGCGAACGTTCTGTATCATCACGAGAACTACTTCTCTCTTTTCCCCCTTCTTAAAATATGTTTTTCTTACAGTAGCAAATACATCAGATGCCTTACATCGCACAAATGTCACTGGCGACGTGCCCGAGTTACACAGACACAACTATTTGTGTACTTTTTCACGTAGTCTTCTCGAACGCGCTTCAGGTGGGCTGTGACGAGGGGCATCGCTAAGTCCGCGCCTCGTGGCTATTGTCACAAATCCTCATCGCTGCATGCTGCAGCTAAGCTGGCCAAGCTGCGGTGCATTCCTCTACCCCCCCACCGCTCCACTTCAATCCCCACCTAAAAGGTTTGTAGCTTTCTGAAGATCACACACGCAAGCATAAGAGCGGTAGGCAAGCTCTTCAGCAGTCATGCGTACGCCTTGTACAAATCCTGCAACGTTCCTTTAATGCTTCTCACCCGGGTCTCGCTCTTGTTAAACGATGCATCGCTTACTCAGCCTGCCCTGTTTTTATTTATTGACGCAGAGGAATTCACAGTGGATTCGTCCGACGTGTGTTCCGGGTTGGACCGTGCGTTTCTCGGCACGGTGTGCAAAGTTTCGCTCCACGTGTTAGCAGCTTAATCAACGGCTGAACACGGTAGTTTGAAACGTCGGACATCATGCTGAACAACGCACAAAAAACACGTCGGAGAGATGTATGGTACAACTGCGAAAACCTGAGCAGGTCGTATTTTATCGCTCGTTCTCTCGTGGAATGTTTTTATTTTTATTTTTTTTATAAATATTATTATTGTAATCTTTTATAGCATACGTGTACACATAATGAAGTTACATTTTCTAAGGTAACGCATTGCAGATATTCTATAGTATTTACTCATCGCAACCCGAATCTTACCTTTTACAACACTGGAAAATATTTACACGTGATTATCTGTTGCTAAGCTCACCTGTATTCTCAAGAGCGGATTCCCACAATGCACAGGGGAGACTTGCTAAAGCCACTCGTTTTTCACGAACGGCCGCGTGACTGACAACGTTGGGAATGACGTGAACAAAAACGGAAGAGGAGCACAATCGGTGTTCCATACAGCATCTACTGCCGCTTTTGATTGGTTGAGAAAATAATATTTAGACTTTTTTTTAAACACGCTTTAATGAAATGTACCGTACGAGCAATAGCAAAACTCCACGCCTTCAGGAAGTGGCCCCGAAGCTTGCCATGATTTACAGCCAACGTCAGTTGAGCATGGACAATTAGACCCAAGCCAAAACATAACATAAAAAAGATGGTTTAAAAATATATATTTTTATTTTTAATGATAGAATATAGTATTGTCATCTGTATGACATAAGTATACCAAGTTTGTAGTCGATACCACATTGGGAAGTGGGTTAAAATTGAGTTACGAGATTTGAGGATACGACAACAACAGACAGAGTGAGTTAAATAAAAGCGTGTAAAATAATAAGAGCCGGGTCGGTAGAGGTCCCGAGTGGTAGCGTAAAATGTGGGCATGCCTACCTCTTCCAATGTTGACATCAAGTCAAGGTGGAAGAATAGACCAAATACCCTATGGAGTTCTCTCGAGTGTCAGAATCTGTATTCATCCTGGAGAAAGCTGATGAGCTATGAAGCTCTTTTTCATAGATGTCCAGTAGTGCTTGCTACAAATGAACCACAATACATTGCTGATTTCGTCAAGGAGCATAAACCATCATGCGAACTCCGGTCATTCTTGCAGCGGCTTTTGGCGAACTATGAAACAAAGACCGTCACCGCCTCGCGCGCTTTCAGATGCGCTTCTGTGGCCGTCTGGAACGCTCTTCCTTCCATAATTATTAAGCCACTAGAGCTATGCACTTCATATCTAGATTTAAAACTCATTTATTTAGACCTGATTTTTGTTGTTTAGTTTGTTGCCTTTCCCCCGCACCTCCGATTAGCACGGTTGGCTACCTACGGTGCAAAAGAAGTTCAACAAACATACATAGGAGCAGGTCAGAAAATTACAGTAGATGGTCCTTTCTGCCAGCAGTAGCATGAGGAAGCCATTGCAGGGCCACACGTTTACCTACTGGGGTTCGAGGTCGACCAATCGGGTACGTGTGCTGACCTGCGGATGTTGAGAGTGAGGTCGTCCCCACATGCCTTGATCTTGTTCTGCGCCTCCAGGTGGGTCAAGTCATCTGCGTCGGAGCCCTCGATGCTCAAGATGACATCGCCCGCAACCATTCCAGCCAGAGCCGCCTTGCTACCAGGTGTGATCTGCACAGTAGAGAGAAGTGGGGGGGGGGGTGACAGACAAACGGTCAGACACCTTCAATTAGCACGGTTGGCTATGTACGGCGCGAAAGAAGTGCGATAGAGGAAGATGGAGAAGAGACGAAAATTAGACCGATATTGAGAGGTGCAGATAGCTAAATATTTACTAACCATTGTTTATTTTACCAGGTGAGGCCCACTGAGCTATCTATATAGCCCTTTTTCAGAAGTCCACAAATGACAGCTCAACGAAGTGGCTTATCGCGTGGAAATTTATAGCAACCAAATCATCTCCGATACACTAAGTGGGACAGAGAGATAGAGAAACAGACATTTTGAGACACACGCAGACAGAGTGAGACATATGTAGGTGCTGATCAACAATGGGAAGCAAAGATAGTGGCAGAAAGAGGGAAAAAACACCCACATGAATTCATCACCGATCATTTAAAGGGTTCAGGTAAAAGCAAATCATTGCGAACTGCCAGTAAATCTGTTTGCAATGTATAATTCAACATGGCAGTTTAAATAAGAGACTGCAAAGTGCCACATTAAAGACTTGCCGAATGACGAGCTTTAAAGGTTTGTGTGTGGCCTAAATGGCCACCTGTAAAGTGACGCTTCGATGTGAAAAATATCTATTTACTTTTAAGCACATAGTCAAACATCAAACAGTGATAAACAAAAACTATCTCCAGAGAAAGCATTCTGGTTTCCACTGGGAAATGGATGAGTATTCAGCTCATTTCACCAACTAGCAACGCAGACGCATCCACGTTATGAGAGCGTTTTCATGAACTAATGCTGTAATGTCTTTATATTACGTGGTGCCGATATTAATGGCGAGAGATATCTGAACCAGTCCTGGTGACCCAAACCCACCCTGTCACCCCCACCTTCACCAGACGTTGTGACCAGCTCGGTGAAGTATGGTCAAACGAGCCCCTTCACTGACATAGTGTGGGGAAGGCCTTCATGCAGCAGCGGTTTAGCAAAGGGCTGCAAATTAATATTACCCTTCGACAGCAATGGAGCAAATTATCTGAAGAAAATAAAGATAAACAAAGATGTCCCACGCCAACAGAAAGAGACTGAGGAATGACAGTACTATAACAACAACAAAACATTTATTTAATAAACATTAAAACATAAGAATGTATGGAATGTGAAAAGCCCTTTCTCTTGACCGGATTTAAAGCCGGGTCTCTCAAGGCGAATGGCGATAAATCCTGGGTAAGGCAGGCACACATCTCACGTTTAAAATGTGCCCGTGTTTGCCAGTCCTATGCACACAATGCGTTTTTTCCAAGGGTGGAACATACCCAAGTATGGCTAGGAACAATGGCCGAGTAAGATTTGCTCATTGCGTCAACCACAGTAATGTATATTGCAGGGTGTGCAAAGCACAGACCAACCTCAGGCATTTGACCGATGTGCAATGTTCAATTGTAATGTAACACTACTGAATGTCCAACTTCTCAATGCCACGCATTCCATCTGCGATTCACGTTACCTTGTCTCCCTCCACTCACCCGGACGACCTTCATTAATTGTTAAACTAATTATTTGATGATGATGATGCTGTTGCTGGATGCAGTGGCGCAACAAATAACACTGTGGCCATCAAAGCAAAACTATAGCAAAGCACACTGAGCTACACAGATCTTTTCCAAAAGCGACCTGGCCACAGGTGATAGCTCAACGAAGTGGCTTATCACGTGGAAATGTTTCGCAGTCAAATACTCTCAACGTTTGTTGATTCTAAATATGGAAGGAAAAACCGCAGGACCTGGAAAAAATCTACACGACCACGGGGAGAGAGACACGAAAACTCCAAATATTCAGGTGCAAAGGTCGGGATTGAACCCACAAACACCTGTCTACCAGGCGAGGTAGTTAAGATCTCACCACTGTGAGCGCCCATAATTGTCGACGTTCAAGACAATGGCCATTCTTCATAGAGCATCCAGTTATTGACGAACACGTTATATTATTTCTGAATAAGCACTAAGTTTATATCATGGGACCTCCTTTGCCAGTACCAAAAATATGAGAATAGGTTTTTTCGATTGCATTCTGACCACAAGTATTGTGGTTAATGCAGACATGATTCCTTCTAAAAGGTTTCAGTTTGGTGTTTTAACATCTTAACACCTATTCTTGGTTCTTTCGGTAAAGTCACGTAGAAGGGAAACAACAACTTTACCGAAAGAACCAAGAATATGAATCCCTGCAGTCACGAAAGCTTTAAATCTTAACACCTGTTTTGTTGCCATAAAAAAGGGGAAAACCTATTCTCACTACATTTGTGTTGAACTGATGATTTGGTCATGTTGTGTTGGCACCGGTGCACAAAGCAAAATTAATAAAAGCACATTTATGTGCCGTGAAGAAGGTGCATCATTATAATTATCCCCCTTATATCTCTTTTTTTATTTTAAGGTCAAAGTGTTATTGACGAATGTTTAAATTTTTTGGGAATTTGTTTTGGTTGCGTTGAACATGCCGGCAACAAGCGTACTTATCTTGCTGAGACAAGTCAGGCCCAACAAGTTGCACAGCATAAGGTTCACTGTTTAAATGTCAAGACAAATACTTCCCGATGAGAGGTGGTGGTGCCACGTGTAAAGAGATTGTTGAGTAGCAAGCTGAGATGTTAATAATAATAGTTCATTATTATGTTGATAATGATGGAGGATATGATGATAACGATGCATACATTATTTTTAGGCAAAAATAAAAAAAAATTAACTATGCAATGACAAAAAAACATTATCGAAACTTTAGGGCAAGCTGACCCTTCGTTTAAATATATTATTTGGTCAATAAATCAATCAAACTGTATTTAATATAGGGCTCTTCCCAATGGTGCTCAGGCTCATTCCTCAAAATAATAAGCATATGATTGGCAATGTTGCAAGCAGCAGACATGCCCAATTAATAATGTACCGAGAGATAAGACTTCAATAATCCATTGCTGACCTTATCCGTTGGCTTATGGGATGAGCCTGCTAATGTGTAAACGGGTTTCCTTGCCAGTAACCGGCAAAAGTAACATCAGCAAATAAGCACTCGCTGAAAGACTTTGTGAAAATATATATTTGTTAGTTTCTCAGCCTCCCAGATCTACGTTTCATTTATTTTCATGCGGAGATAGTACAGTGAGGGAAAAAAAGTATTTGATCCCCTGCTGATTTTGTACGTTTGCCCACTGACAAAGAAATGATCAGTCTATAATTTTAGTGGTAGGTCTATTTGAACAATGAGAGACAGAATAACAACAACAAAATCCAGAAAAACGCATGTCAAAAATGTTATAAATTGATTTGCATTTTAATGAGGGAAATAAGTATTTGACCCCCTCTCAATCAGAAAGATTTCTGGCTCCCAGGTGTCTTTTATACAGGTAACGAGCTGAGATTAGGAGCACACTCTTAAAGGGAGTGCTCCTAATCTCAGCTTGTTACCTGTATAAAAGACGCCTGTCAACAGAAGCAATCAATCAATCAGATTCCGAACTCTCCACCATGGCCAAGACCAAAGAGCTCTCCAAGGACGTCAGGGACAAGATTGTAAACCTACACAAGGCTGGAATGGGCAACAAGATCATTGCCAAGCAGCTTGGTGAGGTGACAACAGTTGGTGCGATTATTCGCAAATGGAAGAAACACAAAATAACTGTCAATCTCCCTCGGCCTGGGGCTCCATGCAAGATCTCACCTCGTGGAGTTGCAATGATCATGAGAACGGTGAGGAATCAGCCCAGAACTACACGGGAGGATCTTGTCAATGATCTCAAGGCAGCTGGGACCATAGTCACCAAGAAAACAATTGGTAACACACTACGCCGTGAAGGACTGATATCCTGCAGCGCCCGCAAGGTCCCCCTGCTCAAGAAAGCACATATATATGCCCGTCTGAAGTTTGCCAATGAACATCTGAATGATTCAGAGGACAACTGGGTGAAAGTGTTGTGGTCAGATGAGACCAAAATGGAGCTCTTTGGCATCAACTCAACTCGCCGTGTTTGGAGGAGGAATGCTGCCTATGACCCCAAGAACACCATCCCCACCGTCAAACATGGAGGTGGAAACATGCTTTGGGGGTGTTTTTCTGCTACGGGAACAGGACAACTTCACCGCATCAAAGGGACGATGGACGGGGCCATGTACCGTCAAATCTTGGGTGAGAACCTCCTTCCCTCAGCCAGGGCATTGAAAATGGGTCGTGGATGGGTATTCTAGCATGACAATGACCCAAAACACACGGCCAAGGCAACAAAGGAGTGGCTCAAGAAGAAGCACATTAAGGTCCTGGAGTGGCCTAGCCAGTCTCCAGACCTTAATCCCATAGAAAATCTGTGGAGGGAGCTGAAGGTTCGAGTTGCCAAACGTCAGCCTCAAAAACCTTAGTGACTTGGAGAAGATCTGCAAAGAGGAGTGGGACAAAATCCCTCCTGAGATGTGTGCAAACCTGGTGGCCAACTACAAGAAACGTCTGACCTCTGTGATTGCCAACAAGGGTTTTGCCACCAAGTACTGTTTTGCAGAGGGGTCAAATACTTATTTCCCTCATTAAAATGCAAATCAATTTATAACATTTTTGACATGCGTTTTTCTGGATTTTTTTGTTGCTATTCTGTCTCTCACTGTTCAAATAAACCTACCATTAAAATTATAGACTGATCATATCTTTGTCAGTGGGCAAACGTACAAAATCAGCAGGAGATCAAATATTTTTTTCCCTCGCTATACATTGAAGTCAACGTATTTATTTTTTGTATATATCACTGAGAACGGTTCGACTAGATCGGTCAGTGTGTTTGTAAGCAATATTGTTGTTCTGAGCTGACAATCCATGGTGTGTAGAGAGAACACTTATCGAATAACATCTGGCAAACCGGCAGTATTTATTTAACACACATGACTACTGACAAGGCACAAAGGGGGGGGGGGGCCCTAAACTGGTTCTGAGTTTGCACGCTCATTAACACGGGTCTGGAA